CTCGCCCGGCCTCTCCCTGGGCCAGGAACCTGCTCAGCGCTTTCCTCGGGTCATTGCGTCTCCTCTGGCTCCCCGGCCCTGCACCGCGCCCCTCCCCTGACTGGAGGAAGTCGTCCCTGTCGGGGAGCTGCTGTGTCCTTGGAGCAGCCCCTGTCGCCCTCACAGTTCCCAGTCCTGGTGCTGCCTCCCAGGAGCCCCCGGCCTCCGTCCCAGGTGGGGTCCTCAGCAAGGCCCCTGGTAGAAAGCTGAAGCTTAGGAGTCAGACAGGCAGATCCGGCTCAAATCCAGCCAGGTGACTCTGGGCACCATCTGTAATGTCTATGGGCTCCTTCAGGAACTCATTCATGGGCACCTGCTGGGAGCCAGGCGCTGTACTGAGAGCTGGGGAAGAACTGTGGGAGAGACACCCGAGGGCAGGAATGGGGGTATCAAGAGAGGCAGCCGGCGGCCGGGCGCCGTGATGCACGCCTGTAGCCCTAGCACTTTGGGAGACCAAGGCAAGTGGATCACCTGAGCTCAGGAGTCCAAGACCAGCCTGGCCAACACGATAAAACCCTGTCCTTAAAAATACAAAATATTAGCCAGGCATGGTGGCACTCACCTAGAGTCCCAGCTAGTCAGGAGGCTGAAGGGGGAGAATCGCCTGAACCCAGGAGGCAGAGGTTAGAGTGGACCAAAATGGAACCACAGCACTCCAGCCTGAGCAACAGAGTGAGACTTTGTTTCCAAAAAAAACCATAGGCCCCTGGGAGGGGAGGATTCTGGAGGCAGTGACAGTGATTCACGGACCCCCAGGAGAGCATCGCCGGGGCCACCAGACTCGAGGAGGTGGGGGATGATGAGGGTCTCCTCCAGGCAGAGGTACCGTGGTAGAGTCTGTGCAAAGGCCCTGGGGCTGGAGGGCAGGGGGCAAGTTTGAGGACCATGTGTACGGCAGAGGGAGAGGTGGAGGGGAGGGCATGGTTCATGGGGCTTGGGGCTCTGCCAGGGGCCAGTCTTTATCCTAATAGCAAAGACGATTTCTCCATAAAAATGCCCCCCATGCCCTCCCCTCCACCTCTCCCTCTGCCGTACACATGGTCCTCAAACTTGCCCCCTGCCCTCCAGCCCCACCCAAGGGACCCAGACCTGCTCCCAGCAAACGGGGGTCTCTGAACGCTGTGTGTGGCCGAGCGGGGGCCCCGAGCCTGGCCCTGGGAGCCTGGCGGGAGGCACAGCTTACTGGGGCTCCCGGTGGGGGTGCAGCAGCTGCTCCTGGAGTCGCCTGTTGCCCCCACTGAAGGCAGAGGTGGCCCAGTCCCGCCTGCCTCGGCCTCCCAAAGTGCTGGGATTACATGTGTGAGCCACCACTCCCGGACAGATATAATATTAATGAATTTGTCTTAATGCTAACCAAGTCATAAAATGTAAGAGATTTTTATGGAAGTCCAGCGCCCGTCCCCCACCTCACGTGGCCATGGCCTGCCTGCATCCCCCAAATCTCGAAAGAGCAACCCTTTGAGATGGGTGTGTTTGCAGTCAAGGAAAGGGGCTGTGACAGCCAGTGCTCCTGGGCCCAGGTCCATCTCCCCCAATCCCTGGGTACTCGGTGAGCCTCAGTTTCCCCCTCTGGAAACTGGGTTGATGACCCGTTGGCTAAGGACCAAAGCCTCCCAGCAAACTGAGGAGGGTATGGGGTGCAGTAGAGCGGGAACTGGGAGGCTCAAGCTGGTGGCTAGGGACTGGCTGAGGTGAAAAGGGTCGGACACAGGCCAAGATTTTGGGGTGCACGGAGGCCTGGGGAGCAGGAAGACCCAGGAGGCCCTGCCCTGGGCTGGGTGAGCCGGTGGCCACACCTGGAAGGCTGCCTATCAGGTCGGCTGGCACAGCCACCCTAGATTCTTCTCCCCAGGCCTCCAGGCCATTGCCCCGAACAGCCCAGCTGTTGGGCCTTGGAGGCAGCTTTATGGGACCACCATGTGGACGGGTGTTGGGGCCTAGGGGAGACGGCCAGAACAGGGACCCAGGAAAAAGAGGAGCTGAGGAACAGGGTCCCAGCCACCAGGTTGGCCACCTGCCCCCTGGAGCCCCCACCCATGGGATACCAGGCATGGCAGGCTGGAGAAGGGGGCACAGCAGACTGACCTCCCAGGGCACCCACTGGGCATGAGTCAGGCCCGGGACCAGGCCCTCCGTGTAGCTGAGTCTGAGCCCCCACACTGGCCGAAGCCGCCCTCTCCCACCTGCGGCCAATCACACCTCCTGGCCTCAGCTCCACGCAGCAAAGGCTTCCCTCTGCCCCCACCCACCTCCCTCCTCAAGCTCTGGCTGGTGGGCATCGGGTCACTTCACCCACTCACCTTGCTGGGACAAGGCCACACACAGTGGAGTTTGGGGGTGCCAGGTGGGCAGGGGACGGCATCACCTTCCCACAGGGGCCTGAAGAGCAGCAGGCCAGCACCCTCCCCTGCCACCCCTTCGTGGCTCACTGCCAGCCTATTTGGCACAGTGCCCTCTCTGAGTGGGAGCCAGCTCATTTGTGGCCGGTGTTAATTAAGAGAGAGGTGACGGGGGGAGGTGGGGAGGGGCCGAGGAGGGCAGCTGCCGACAGGCACCAGGACTGCCCAGGCCAAGGGGCCTGGAGCTGGACCGTGACCTGAGATGCCCCCCTCCTCCCTCGCTGGCTCTGGGGCGGCACTGCCCCCGGCCCTCACCTCTACAGCCCGACCTACTGGGTGGGGAGTGGGTGGAGCTTGCAACTGGGGCCTGTGGGGTATTCTGCCTGGTTTCCAGAAGGCAGGCCCCACCCCTGGCCAGGAGAAGACGGTCCCTCTGCCATACCTAAGGCAGCCTCCCTAGGGGTCAGCAGGCTTTGTGGCTTGGCTTTGGAGTCAGACCCTGTCCCAGTGTTGCTACGGTCACTCCATGACTCAAGCTCCCTGAGCCTCAGTCTCCTTCTCTATAAAATGGGAACCATTGCACCTCCCTTGTGGCTTTGTTGTAATAAATGGGCCCATCTGTGCCCAGTGTCCAGCCTACACCCAGCAAGCAGTCTTTGGTCAGCAGAAATGCACATTCATGGCCTGGCGCCATGGCTCACACCTGTAATGCTAGCAATTTGGGAGGCCATGGTAGGCAGAGAGATCCAGAATTCGAGACCAGCCTGACCAACATTGCGAAACCCTGTCCCTACCAAAAATACAAAAACTTAGCTGGCTCTGGTGGCAGGCACCTGTAATCCCAGTTATTTGGGAGGCTGATGTGGGAGAATCACTTGAACCTGGGAGGCGGAGGTAGCAGTGAGCCAAGATCACGCCACTGCACTCCAGCCTGGGCGACAGAGTCAGACTCCATCTCAAAAAAAACAAAAACAAAAGAAATGTGCATTCGTGGGCACAGGCCCTACTCAGAGTAACCGGGGGGCCTGCCCCAGGCCGGCCTGGTGCCCCATCGTGGCCCGGCTCCCTGCCCTCCCTCCCCTCCCTCCGGCTCCGGCTCCTGCGCCCACTGCCTCCCTGGCATCGCTCGGCCCACCTCCCCTTCACTTCCCAAGGCCCCCACCCCTGCTCTGGGAGCGCCCAGCCGCTCCTCGCCTCTCCATCTTAATTAGCTGCTTGTATTAATCTCGCAAGTAACGTGGCAACTTGCAGCCCTGGGTTTTCAGGCTGTGGAATTAATTATTCCCCAAGCGAAGAGCTGTCAGCTGTGGGAGACCAGCCACTCGGAGCCGCCGACACCACTTAGCAGCATCCACGCCGCCCTCACGGCATCGGGGGCCTGCAGCCTGGCCGGCCCAGCTTGGCTCTGTGCCCCCCACCACTGCCTTCCTGCAGAAAGGGCTGGGACGGGCTGGGCAGATGGTGGGGGGCAGAGCTGTGCGCGGAGCTGAAGGCCCTGCCTGGGAGCCAGGACTCCCGAGCAGAGGGGCGGGCGCAGCTGGCCTCCCACCTGGGCAGCATCTGGGCCTGGGCAGCACCTGCCTGGCCTCGCCCGCCGCTTTCCCTGATGAGCTCTGGCGGTTTCCACGGACGAAGGCTGCCGGCAGGAGCTGGAGCCCAGGCTGGGGGCGGCGCCGGCCTGCACGGCCCTGGCATTCCCACAGAGGGGGGCTGCCAGCCTCACTTTGCCCCCGCGTCAGCTGCATGGTGTGGGGGATCACCGACCGGGCAGACTGAGAGGGACAGGGCTGTGCAGGAAAGTGGCAGCCACACAGCTGTCAGTCCAGCTCTGCCTGGCAGCACCACCCCTAGTCCAAGGAGGGGGCGGGGACCCAGGCCTTCCTGCAGCGGGGCCCAGACTGAGGATCCCTCTCCATTGGCCTTCACACCAGCCGGCAAGGTGGGGCTGTTCTCCCACATGGGGAAACTGAGGCATGAGACCACATGGCCCCAGTCACCCACTGTTGGTCTGGCTTTGGCTCCAGTGGCGGTGCTCCAGGCCCCTTACCTGGCTCGCCTTGTCCCTCTCGTGGCTAGGTGCCCCCGCCCATGCCCACACCCCCAGTGAGGGTCCTTGTTCTCAGCCCTCCCGCCCCGGCCCTGGGCGGTGCTTAGCCGGGTTGCAAAGCTGCAGTTTGCTTCCCAGTGGCTTGAAGGCTGTGTCCTGCCAGAAGCTGTGAGCCCTGGGGACAGGGACCTGTGCCATCCTCCCCACCTCTCTGCACCAGGCCTGGTGCTGACCTCAGGAGACACTGTGGGCGAAAGAGTGAAGGAATGAAGGGGCCGTGACGCAGGCCAGCTGCCTCTCTGGACCCCCCCCCATGCCTTTGGGTCCGGGTGAGCGGGCAGGAGGCCCTAGGAACTCTCCTGTGTCCCCACCCCTGCCACCCTACAACCCCCAAGCCCGTGAGGAACCTCCTCCCTCTCGCCATCATCTACCACTGCCCCACAGGACTGGGAAGCCCTGAGGCTGAAGACCCAGCTGGCAGTCCACTCCCACCTCGACCTCACCCTCCCCTCAGGACTGATACTCCCACCCCAGCCCCTTCTGCTCTGATCAGCCTTTGTCTCTTTCTCTTGCAGCCAACAGCTCCCTGCTCGGAGGCGGTGGTGGTGAGTGGACCTTCTGTCTTGGTGGGAGTCTCCCCTGCCCCTCGACCTTGGTGCCCAGATCACTGCCATCCACATTCCCTGCTGTCCTCCTAGGGAGTCTCCCTCCCCCAGAGCTAGAGACCTGGATGGCAGGCCCGCCACTCTCACCACCAGGCACCCCAGGCCAGCTCCCCGCCCCTCTGAATGCAAGCCTCCTGCTCTGTAACTGGGCAGCCCTGCCCTTGATCCCCCCGTGGTCTTGGGTAGCTCTGTCCCTCTTGGCCTCAGTTTCCCCAACTGTGAGTACAAAATGATCATCACTGCCCTGCCCTTGGACCTCGGGCTCTGCAGCCAGGACAGGTCTTGGAAAGGCAGGGAGAGAGCCGCCAGCTCTCAGTCCTGGGATGTCGCTGTGTTCGCCCTTGTTAACAGCCCCCACAGAGCAGGGGTTCCAGCAGGGCCAGGCGGGCAGGAGGTCGGAGGTCAGGGTGGACCCAGCCACCAGGGATACAGGCCCAGGTCACAGGTACCAAGTGGGGGTGTGTCCCTCTCCCCACAGCGCCTGCCTCCATGGCCAGCCCACCCTGGGCAGACCACCCCAGCCCCTCAGCCCCCCAGCTGGCTGGGCTGCCCGCTGTCTGCACAGGCAGCAGAATGATTGGTGAGCCAGGGGCCAGGGGTTAATGTGCCGTCGGATAAATCCCGGGGGCCGTGTTTACAGCAGCGGTGGCGGGGCCCAGGCCAGGTTTTAAAAGGGGGAAAAATAAAAGGGGCATGAAGGTCAGGAATAAATAAGAGCAGCGTTAAGAGCTGTCGGTGGCCAGCCAGGATGCAGGGTGGGGTCTGTTTGTGGCTGAGATGTTTTCGCTCCTCCCCGTTCTCCTCTAGCTGTCCCCATGGAGGTCACAACTCCCTGGAGGCCTCATAGAATGAGGGGCTTTGCCAGGGACTGTCAGCCTGAGGACAGGCCACCTAAGACCGTCTTCCGAAGCCTGTCCTTTTGGAGGACGCTTTGCAGACCCAGCCCCTGCGTGTCCCACCCGCAGCACCCCGTCCTTTCTTCATGTATCACCCCTGTGTGCTGGGCCCTGAGCTGGGTGCTGGGACACGTATTCCCGGGCACAGATGGGCCTGGTCCCTGTCCCCTGAGCTCACAGTGCAGATGAGGGCACCACCATGACACAGGGTGAGCTGTGGTGTGGGTGTGGCAGTGAGAGTGGGTGTGGCACCATAGACGCTTGGTGAGGAGTGCTCGCCCCCACTTGGGGACATCAGGGAGGCTTCTAGAAGGAGGTGGCACCTCCACTGTAATCCAAGGGATGGGTAGATATGAGCCGGGTGAAGACTGCTGTGAAGGGTGTCCGGGACAGAGGGAACAGCAGGGCCAAGGCCTGGAAGCGGAGGACAGGGAGGGGAATTGACGGAGGCTCCGACTCGGGGAATGACTGGAGTCCGGCCAAGTGGTGGGGAGATGGGAGATGGCCCGGGAGCCCAGAGAACCCTCGAGGAGCGAAATCTTTAGCCACTCAGTTCAGGAAGACAGAGGTCACACAGGGGTGGGCCTCGCAGCCTCACGTCAGCCCATCGAGTCTCTTCTGCCCACGACCCTGCCTGGGCTCTCATCTCACTCAAGGCCTGGGCCAAGGGCCTTGCCATGGTCAGTCAGGTCCCAGCCACCTCTCACAGTCACCTCCACACTGCCACCCTCCCCCTCGGCTCCCGCCACCCCAGCCTCCCTGGACAGGCCCCGCGCAGTCCCGCCTCTGCGCCTCCGCGCTGCAGTTCTGCCCGCGGTACTCTTGCTCCAGATGTGTCCACTCGGCTGCTCCCTGCACTCCCACGAGCCTTCACCTGAATGCCATCTCCCGGGGGCCCGCCCTGGCCCCTAGCTGAAATTGCAGCTGTTCCCCTGCCCCATGCTGGCACTCTCCCAGCCCCCACCCTGCGCCGGTTTTCGTTTTTCTGAGCACCGATCTCCTTCTAACGTGCTGTGTAATTTACTTACACATTGTATTCCTTGTCTTCTGTCCCCGGAAAATGAAAGACTGCATCTCTGGCACCCAGATCTGGGGCTGGCACTTATAATTAAGTGCTCAATCGATGTTTGTAATCCCAGTCGGTAACCGTAGCACCTGGGGAGGTCGAGGCAGGAGGATTGCTTGAGCCCAGGAATTTAAGAACAACTTGGGGAACATAGTAAGACCCCGTCTCTACAAACGAAAAAACAGTTAGGTGTGGCAGCACATGCACCTGCAGTTCCAGCTTGGGAGGCTGAGGTGGGAGGATCACTTGAGCCCGGGAGGTTAAGTCTGCAGTGGCCGGGCGCGGTGGCTCAAGCTTGTAATCCCAGCACTTTGGGAGGCCGAGGCGGGTGGATCACGAGGTCGAGAGATCGAGACCATCCTGGTCAACATGGTGAACCCCCGTCTCTACTAAAAAATACAAAAAATTAGCTGGGCATGGTGGCGCGTGCCTGTAATCCCAGCTACTCAGGAGGCTGAGGCAGGAGAATTGCCTGAACCCGGGAGGCGGAGGTTGCGGTGAGCCGAGATCGCGCCATTGCACTCCAGCCTGGGTAACAAGAGCGAAACTCCGTCTCAAAAAAGAAAAAAAAGAAAAAGAAAAAAAAAAAAGTCTGCAGTGAGCTGTGATTGTGCCACTGCACTCCAGCCTGGGTGACAGAGTTAGACTCTGTCTCAAAAAACAAACAAGAGACCGGGCATGGTGGCTCACGCCTGTAATCTCAGCACTTTGGGAGGCCTAGGCAGGCAGATCACCTGAAGTCAGGAGTTCAAGACCAGCCTGGCCAACATGGTGAAACCGTGTCTCTACTAAAAATATGAAAATTAGCCAGGCGTGGTGGTGCATGCCTGTAATCCCAGCTACTCTGGAGGCTGAGGCAGGAGAATCACCTGGACCTGGTAGGTGGAGTCTGCAGTGAGCTGAGATCACATCACCACAGAGCAAGACTCTGTCTCAAAAATGACAGAAGTTGATTGAATGAATGAATTACAGGTAAAGGTAGGGATGAGCCTATGCATTAAGCAAGGGACTTTCCCACGGGCAGCAGGGGAAACCACAGACGTTTTGGCACACCCAGGACTGGCTCACAGATGGCCTGTGACCTCACTCTGGGAAGTGGAGGGGCCCTGCCCTGGCTATTCAGGGTCACGGTCATTCTGGTTCCCCTGCCAGCATTTAGGGGTGAGGAGCGGCTGGCACAGGCATCTCGCACAATCTGACCGACACAGAGATGGACGGGGCGGGTCACCAGGAGGAAGTGGGCCCAGAGTCCAGCCTTTTAACACAGGCTGAGATTTATGGAGCCTCCACCAGCACTTGCTGGGACTGTCACTCTGCTAATGTGATGGGAACACAGTGGAGGTGGCAGGGAGGGGGCTGTGTTAGGGACGAGCCCGGGGCTGGAATGGAGCCCAGCCTGGGCCCCGGAGATGCTCTGCCCTCCCCTGAACCCTTACTCCTCCACCATCTTTGAGTCCACCCAGCCCTAATCCCCTACCTGTCCAAGTTAGATCCCACCTGACTCTGCCCAGACACACCTGTCTTCCTATGATGGCCCTTGACATCCTTCCTACAGGGCTTCAGGCCTCTACCCACTTCCCTCCCATGACTACCCACCCATTGTTCCAACAAGTGCAAGGGCCATCTTGCGTGCCCTGGCCATGCTGCCCGGCACCCTGACGTGCCCCCTGCTCCATGTCTTCGTCCCACAGCCCTGGTCCCCACTTATGTTTTGTGTTTGTTCATTGCCTTCCTCCCCACTGGAATGGACTCTCCCTGAGGGCAGGGTTCTGGGAGATTCTGGGCCTCTGGAAGAGCTTCCTGCTGTGCAGTAAATAATTAATGTCTGCAGTGCGCTGAGTGGCACCCTCTATGTGCCTGCCCTAACTGAGAGCTGAGGACACAGCTCTCAGTCCAGCACCCCCATCCCATCCTCTCACTCCAGGGACTGCCAGCCTGCCAGGCAACCAACCAACACCCCAACCAACATGCCGGCCAACAACCCAACCAACCCTCTAGCCAACACCCCAACACCCAAACAACATGCCAGCCAACACCCAAACAATATACCACCCAACACCCCAACCAACACCCCAGCCAACACCCCAACCAACAAGTTAGCCAACACCCCAAACAACATGCCAGTCAATATGTCAACCAGTACCCCAACACCCCAACCAACACCCCAAACATGCCAGCCAACACCCAACCAGCCAACACCCAGCCATCACCCCAGCCAACACCCCAACACCCCAGCCAACACCCCAACCAACATGACAGCTAAAACCCCAAACATCCCAGCCAATACCCCAACATACCAACATGATAGCCAATACCCCAGCCAACACCTCAACACCCCAACCAACACCCCAATCAACATGCCAGCCAACACCCCAACCAGCACCCCGGCCAACACCCCAACCAACAAACACTCCAGTCAACCAACACCCCAGTCAACATGCCAGCCAATGCCCCAAGCAATACCCCAACCAACACACAAGCCAACACCCCAACAAACATAACGACAGCCAACACCCCAAACAACACCCCAGCCAACACCCCAAACAACACACCAACATGACAGCCAACAGCTCAGCCAACACCTCCACCACAGCCAACACCCCAACCAACACCCCAACATGACAGCCAATACCTCAGCCAACACCTCAACACCCCAACCAACACCCCAACACCCCAGCATGACAGCCAACACCCCAGCCAACACCTCAACACCCCAGCCAACACTCCAACCAACACCCCAATCAGCATGCCAGCCAACAACCCAACCAACACCCCAGCCAGCACACCAACAGCCAACACCCCAGCCAACACTCAACTCCCCAACCAACACCACAGCCAACACCCTGGCCAACACCACAACCAACCAACACCCCAATCAACATGCCAGCCAACACTCCAAGCATTACCCCAACCAACACACAAGCCAACACTCCAGCCAACACCCCAACACCCCAACCAACACCCCAGCCATCACCCCA